TGTTTAACCAAAACAGCAGTACAAAGGTTGATTATTGTCAAAACGCGTCTTTGTAATAATCCTAATAACCCTTCGGTTGTTGTTTCAGGTAGAATTTGCAATAATCGGCGAACCACGAGATTGAGCACAGTAAAACTTTCATTACTTCCTCCAAAAAATCTTTGCAAATACGGAATGTAGACTTGAAATCAGCCAAGCTTCATTTACCAATACGTGCACTTCCTAATTCGCCACCTCTACCATGTATCTACACTTGTCTCGAACTTTTCAAGAATTTTCACAGATGCAATGTATTTTTGGCCGGAAACATGCACATTTCCCTTCGAAGCGTTTTGCAATTAATGAGGACAGATTTAAAAACAAAGTTTCATTCCTATTAACTGGTTATCTCTCAAAAAGCATTGCGAGATGGTATTTGTTCCTTTGAATCAGGTACTGCTGTTAAATTTAGTTGAGAAAATTCATTTGGGATTCTTTCTTGCTCGTTTTGGGGAGCTTGAAAATTGGCCCATTACGACGCAAATGATATCTTACCCTGTTCCCACTTTTAAGCAATTAATTGGTCTCAAAACATGAACGTATTAGGGGAAGTGTAAAATGCGATTTGTTATATCGTTTACCTATTTACTTATTTACTTATTTATGTACTTATACAGCACACTCACATATGCTCTTTGGAACCTTAGGAATTGATTGACGACCAATAATCAACCAGCAGGTTTAGCTCAAATGCCCTGAAGTCACCTTATTATCTCGTTCTTTTACACTGGCTAGAAAATTCATATTACAAGCCCTGATTTGTAAACTACCAAATGTAATTGCAATCGTTTAGACAGCCAATTGAAAAACCAGTGGTAAATAGGTGCACAAATAGCTTCTCTCGTCAAAGTGTGAACACATACTTTCTCGGTTATAATGCAATAAGCAAATTAAAGCACAAGACATACTACACGATACATAAAGCATCATAGGTAAGTGACAAAGTAAGCGCCGAAAAATTCTTATCACTCATTCGCCAATTGAATCACAGATATCCCAAATGATTTCGCCCGAGTAGATTTTGGGCGATTAATAATACAACATTTTTGATAAAGAATAGCAAAGAGGACTACAAGGCATGCAGTAGATTATGGAGTTTTGAAAATGCGTGAATAAGGGTGATAAAACCAAAACGTGCAGCAAAATTTAGCCTTCTAGGCTTCCAAGAAAGAAGAGAAAAAGGACAAGGAAAAGGATGAAGACAAAGACA